CTCTCTGGTCCGGAGAGGCCCATTTCATTGGTCGGATCCAATCCCGTAACAGTTACCCCCACTCTCGAGGTGATGCTCTTCCGGTCGTCTGATCTCATCATTTCGAGAGTACCTCTGCATGTGTTGGAATATCCGGGATAGACTTTTGCTAAAACTACCATTGCAGGTGTTGGAGAAGTCCAATGCTACCTTCTTGTTGAGCCCATCCAATCCTTCGCTGCTGGATCACAGGGATACATGGACCGGGGCGCCTCAACCACCGAAAGAGGAGAGAAAGTGGGCCCGGCCAATGGGCCGAGCCCTGCTCGGCGCCGACTCGGTCGGCTTGGTCTTCCCTTCGTCGTTGCTTGGTTGAGCCTCTCTACTATAGAGATGTCTATTTCTTTGATTGATTTCTATCTCATAACAGTTGTCCCTTTCTCTCAAGATGGATGGTAAGTGACAATTTCGAGACCTCTATTTTGTTAGCTCTTGTTGCTTGGTTGTATCATCTAAGGCTTCAATGTTCTTAAGATGTCTGGTCATGGTTAAGTCTCTTGAACCTGTCTATAAGTTAGATTTTGGCTTTGTGATCTAACTTTTAGCTAAGCCAGCTACGATACTCTAGGTTTCTAACTTGTTTGGCTTTGCCAAATGATTTTATACCCTAGGCTCCTACTTTATGTTTTGACCATGCTAGGCCTTTATTGACCGAATCTTTGCCTGGGGAAGTCGTGTTCTACGCCCCCATACTCTTGTCGTTGTTGGCTGTAGTCAAGTTTTTTAGGCTCTACTATACGGTTAGTTTTAACCGTTAGATTTTAGCCTTGGGATCTAACTTTCAGCTGCACGGCCCTTGGGTTTCTAACTTATTTGGCTTTTGCTCATGGTTTTATACCACGGGGTTTACTCTTGGGTTTCTAACCTATTTAGCTTTCACCAATGGTTTTATCCCTTGAGATTAGTCAGAACCCCTGGGTTTCTAACTGCTCGGCTTCTGCCAGTTTTTACCCTGAGTTTAATCAACACTCTTGAGTTTCTAACCTATTATGGCTTTTGCCAAATGGTTTTATACCCTAGATTTCTTTGATTGGTTTGACTTGCCTGCTTTCTGTTTCAACCATACTGGGCCTGTACGCATGCCTTTTTCAGTACCTTTGAGATTCTCTTCCCCGGTTTCACTAACTGGCTTCTAGCTTATCGACCTGCTTCTAGGTCTGTCCCAATTCGAGTTCATTGATCATTGTTACTCACTTGGCCCCCACTTGAGGAGGTTTTGTTTAAGGTATCAAACAAAAATTTTCTCAAGTACTTCAAGCCTTATCATTTTCTTTTATGTCGCTTTCTTTTATCTGTTCGTGTCGACTAAGTGACTTCTTCTTGCCGAGCACAATTTCTGAAGACCGGGTCGGCTTTTCCAGGTAGCTCCTGCTACTGACTTTTGCTGTCGTGCAGTTATCCGATCTAGTCAGCAGAAGAGTCCTGGTCGGCAGAAGATGCCAAGTCGACAGAATAGGCCTGGTCGATCGAATAGGCCTGGTCGGCAGAATAAGCCTGGTCGGTGGAAGACACTTGGTCGATAGTAGAGACCTGGTCGGCAGACACTTGCTCGGTCGAGACCTGCTCATGCCTTGGTTCCAGTCATGCCTTAGAGCCTGGGAATTTTCAATTAAATCTCTTTTGGCATTACTATTGGTTTGCTTTAACCATTAGTCTTTTTAGCCTAAATCTTTAACTTTGGCGAAGCTGATTTGTCTGCCCCCAATTTCCATAGGTTTCTAACACATTGGTCGCGACCAACGGTTTTATACCTTTTGGTTTCATTGTTTTGCTTTTGACCTTGACTTTTTTGTTCCGCCTTGCGTTTTAACCTTGCTAGGCTCGGTGGCCCGCTTCTAGTTTGGCCTTGATTGAGGCCTTTAACCACTTTCCAGCCTTTGTTGACCATCCGTGCCCCCTACTTGAAGAGTAGACGGAATGAGATTTACTTCTCAAGTATGTAGATAATAAGAATTTTATTGAAAAAAAAATATGGAATCAAATAATTTGTAGAACATAATCTAGGTTTCTTTTGAAAAGAAGAAAGAGCAAAAAGACATAAAATCTAAAAAGATGCATTATCCTAAAACTGTACTCATTGGTCAATCAACTCCAAGCAGCAGTGGTCATTTTGAGGTAGAGGCTCTACTGTCGTTGCCTCTTAATGAAGTGTAGTAACACTCACGCAATACCCGTTGATCCCTTTTAACTTCACCCACACCTTATGGCATTGGGAACTTCATGGATTGGTGAGATTGAAGGTATCGCCTTTAGCATGTGTATAGTCGATCTCCCCAATATCGCGTTATAAGAGGAAGAGTAGTCAACAACTAAGAACTCCA